CTGTGCTATGTTTGATATTTATGGAGATGATTTTTTTTTCCTCTTTTTTTGAGCCATTGCTGATCTATGTTTTCTGTCAATCGTTGCTGACCAACGTATGTGTATGAACATTATTGTATTAGGTGATGATGAATCTTTTGGTCTCAGGACGTGTACAGTGTGGTTATTTTTCACTGCTCTGGTTTTGGAAAAGAATAGATGGAGAAACCTTTGGATGATTTGGATTCTATGTAACAGCTTGTGCTGATAACTGTGGATTAGTTTGCAATAGCTTTGAATAGAGAAGAGAGTGAAAAGTGCAGGTGTCTTTGTAACTTATGGCATTCTATTCGCTTGGACCTTAGATTTTGTTATTGAACTTGAAGAAAACCCTATAAATTTGCGATGAGCAATGCTCCCTTGAACTAGATGCAGCCATGTTTCCAGGAACAAGTTCGAGTTAGGTAATTCATGCAATGGCGTGGGCGTCTGCGTATTACTGGTTCCACTCTACCTAAGAACCTACCATGTGCATATTAAATCCTCCCAAGGGTGGGGGCATTGTCTTTCCACCACTTGAAAATGAAAAGGGTTTTGAATTGGACTCGCTCATACTTGGATTAATTAGCACCAAATTATTTCTGCTGTTACAGACAGATGATCATCTAAATCTTATAGGGTAAAATTATGGACTCAAATGCTTGTCGTAAAAAACTTCATGTCTTCAACATTCATGTAACGTTTGATTACTATTTCAAAATAGAAAAGGATAGACGAGACAATGAGGATTGAAAAGATAAGTCTCACGTCCTTCAAGGTTACTATTTCCAAATAGAAGAGCTGAGAGACGATGAGGATTGAAAAGATATGTCTCATGTCCTTCAAATTCACTCCAAAACTGTAGAAGAAATAGATTTATTTTATGTTTTCTATGCTGAATTCGTCTTGTCAAAGAAGTGGAATTCCAAGAAAACGGGGACATTCAATTATTTTGCAATGAAAAATTGTGTTGGTGTAGCGCTGAAGGAGAAGTCTATGCAAGGCTGGATACTACTCGTTCTTCATTCAAATTCCACTCAAACATATTGCTTTCAAATAAGGTAAGGCTTAAAGCATGATTTGTCATAATTGCTTCATGCAAAATCCCTCTATGTTTTTTTTTCTCGTCAAATCTTTCTATCAGTGAAGCTAGTTTTTTCTTTTGTGAACAATTTACCTTTAAATTTATTCCATCTTTAAAACACTACTTTACCTTATGCCATTATAACAGGTTCGAGAATAATATAAAGCTTTTTTCGGATGTCACTCAATAATCTAAGTTTCTGGATTAGGATGTTTTCTTATATGATATCAAAATTTTAATGGCCCGGCGATTGATAGTGTTCAAATCTGAATTATGATGCTGGGAAGAGAGGCGAATGTAATTGGGTTAAGGTTTGGTGTTGTGACGATAACCATTTAACTACTTGCTTGCTTATGTTAATATTTCCCTTCTGGACTGCAGAAGAACATTACATTACAAGAATTAAATATGACAACAACTAAAAGGATTGCCTAAAAAAATGGACAGAGGAAGAAGTGGGGAATCTCATCTCAAATTCCCCGAAGACCCTTCTTCAAACACTAAGAGACAGCTAACTCTTACGGATGAAGTAGCACAGTGAACACATAATGAGAACAAAACAGGATCTGCATGAAACTACACCTTCTTAACTGACTGTCCACCAGTGATCAAATTGAAGACATTTCTTCCGTATCCAGACTGCAGAATGCTAAGATGCGGCTTCAGGCGCGACAAAAGTTTGTGGTAGAGTGGACTGCCTGATTTCTTGGTGACTTTCAGTGCTTTCTGGATCACATAATTACCAAATTCATCTTTAGCAACACGCAATAGCGTGTTGGTGTTGCTTAGAAAATTTTCAATTATCCTACTCTTCCACTCTGTATCCAAGCATTTTTCGACTATATGACTGCCTCCTTTCTGCAAGGATATGGTTTCATAATGGCCTATGAGGAGATGACATACGTTTTGGGTGAATAAAGGAATATTGAGTGATATGACCTTCTGAATCACATAGTTCCCTTCCGGATCCTGCGACAGGAATACTGCATTTCTAGATAGCATATTCAGGAGCCGATATCTTTGCAGACCTTGGATGGTGTTAATGACCCTGATTAAGGCTATGGATCCTTCATGGTCTATTGCTAAATCAAGACACCATGTGATGGCTGCTTCATATAATGCCTTGTTATCTTCAGCTCTCAGGTGGTTTAAGCACTCCGATACAACATACGAACCTATCCGATTGGTCATGATCAGAAGAAACGCAGCACACAGATTGTTGGTCACGAACGAAATCAAATGTGATCTCCGGAGTATTCTAATGACCTTCTTTATCAAGTTCGAACCGTGTGTGTGGAATGTCAATGTAATAAAAATCGACAAGTCTTTGGTTATCTCATATGTAATCAATCTCAACTGTTGATGATTCAATGAATCAATTAGCTCAGAAACGACATGCCATCCATGTTGATTAAGCATCAGCTCGATAAAAATGGGGATTCCTCTTGATGACAAGTCCAAAACTTTCTTGCATATCTGACGTGTAATCTCTGGGTCCCTCAAACTCAATAAACCGTGAAGTGTTCTTGAACCCTCTTTGTCTAAACAATAGTTGACAAATCTATCTCCTTGAAGCAGACAAATAAAGTTCCTTACGTTGTTAAGCTTTTCTTGATTCCTCACCACACTGTAATCACTTAGTCCTGTGTTACCAGCACTACTTGCTCCCTTATCGACGACAGAAGTACCACTCGGAGAGTTTAAAATAGGAACATAACTCCTGGCCCCGGACTGCAATCTTGAACCATGCAAATCCCATCCATCATCGCCCAAACTGTTTGATCCCCAGATAGTTCCAGGAAACAGTGGCGGTGGAACTAGAGTCGAATTCGCAAACCCAGCCTGATACCGTGGTAACCTATTAATCCTGGTTTCTTGAATTCCTTGTAAAGAACCACCATTAGCAGCCAAAAGGCAGTTCCTTGGAGAAAAGCAACGATGGTTTTTTGTGTCAGTTCTCCCTTCTGTCAAGGAAAGATTGGCGACAGAAAGCATAAGGTTTTCGACAGAAGGACCTGAAGACGCAGAAGAAGACATTGAGTTATCAGAAGAACCTGAAGATGTCTCCATCGAAAAAGAGAATACCGAAAAGAATACAATAATTAGATCACAAAGAAACACAAATAAGAATAAACAAGCCTCTCCTGGTTTTATAGAGCGGCATGGTAGAGGAGAGTGCATTATTCCTTGTTGGTTTAGGATTCCTCGTTTGTAAAGAAGAGTACTTCTTTGCGTGGGAGAAAAGCAACGATGGTTTTTTGTGTCAGTTCTCCCTTCTGTCAAGGAAAGATTGGCGACAGAAAGCATAAGGTTTTCGACAGAAGGACCTGAAGACGCAGAAGAAGACATTGAGTTATCAGAAGAACCTGAAGATGTCTCCATCGAAAAAGAGGATACCGAAAAGAATACAAGAATTAGATCACAAAGAAACACAAATATGAATAAACAAGCCTCCCCTGGTTTTATAGAGCGGCATAGTAGAGGAGAGTGCATTATTCCTTGGTGGTTTAGGATTCCTTGTTTGTAAAGAAGAGTACTTCTTTGCGTGTGTGTCAAGGGAAGGGTTTTATTTCTTGTGGAACTATGATTCCGAATTTGGAAAGGATAAGCTGCTAATCTCTAGGATTTGGTTTCTGCTAAACTAGCTGATAAAGCCGTAAGAGAAATTAAATCATATACAATCAGTTTAAACTCTATAAATTAATATTTTTGAGACCTAATTGTGATATTATTTAAATTTCAAAACTGACCCGTACCGGACCGAATAAAAATATTATTTAATCAAGGCTATTAATTTATTAAGCTCATACGACATATATATATATATATATATATATATATATATATATATTAACTTAACAGGCATGTTTGCTTCTTGAGTTTAGATTTTCACAGACCCGTACCGGACCAAATAAAAATATTATTTAATCAAGGGTATTAATTTATTAAGCTCATATATATATATATATATGCTCTATTAACTTAACAGACATGTTTGCTTCTTGAGTTTAGATTTTCATATGATAGATAACTAAATATATCTACTAAACATTCCAGATGACCTAATTTTAACAAATCCATATCACGTAGCTCATATTCTGCATAATCTCCTGCATTAGATTTAGGTATTTGTATGAGATCGAAGCACACAACGGCTTGATTTGTCTACGTGAGACTGATTCAAGAGCTTGGCATAAACCTAGTATGTGCATGTTGAATCCTGTCACAGGTGATTGCATTATTCTCCTACCACTTGTATAGAAAATGGGTTGTGAATTATGTTCACTTCGATCTACCCCCAAAAGAAATCAATTTAAGGCTGTTTGATTTTACCATGAATTGGGAACTGGAAATCTTGCTAATATTCTTAAAATGGGCTGTGAATAATGTTCACTTCGATCTATCAACAAAAGCTATATCTTTACATGCATTTGTTCGTGGATCTTTTCACTGGCTCAAGTTTAATTTACTTGCTAGTGCTATGGACAGCAAGCGATTAGCAGAAATATTGCCTCCTTTTCATGGTGATATGGGGACAGTATACTGGTGTTTTCGAGACTCAAATGATTTCTGATGCTGTGGAGATTGATCATCGGATATCGTGGCAGGCCTTGCATGGTGTTAATGGCCATTATGAAGGCTATGGAACCTTCATGGTCTATTGCTAAATCAAGACGAAATGGCTGCTTCATATAATAACTCGTTATCCTCAGCACTTGACTGGTTTAAGCACTTCGATACAAGATACGAACCTGTCCGACTGTTCATGATCGGATAAAACACAGCACAGAGATTGTTGGTCACAAAAGAAATCAAATGTGTTCCCCAGGTTGCAATCTTGAACCCTGAAAATTAACCATGAAAATTTTTTATTTGAGATTGGCAAATAAGTTCCCTCCACCAATGTAGTGCGGGTCAGTTATACAGTAGTAGCACCTAAATTCAAAAGACACTATCGTCTATTGCTCTTCCCAGAAATGCTAGAAACTATGACCCTGGTTTCTGGAATTAATGTAAAATGATCAGCAGAAGACCAAGTATCAAAACCTAATTTCATTAAAACTATGTCTTGCAAGAACTCACCAGCAGGCAAACACATCTGCATTCCTCAGTTCCGTTGCATTTGGAGATCTTAAGTTTCAACTTCTGTCTTGTCCTCGAAAATTCAAACCATCCAGGGAAAAGTAAATCAACTTGGAATGTCTCACTACCCTTCTTGAGAAAGCCGAACAGAGGCATCACGAATCATATCAACTAGCTCTTCATTCAGTGCTTCAAGATCACCCGTGTGGCATAGTTGACGATAGAAAGGGGCAAGGTAATTTGCAGCAACTTCAGCCAATTTCCAAAGAGACAACTCTGAAGCAATTTTGATTATTTTAATAGACAGCTGTCTGGCTGAATCCAGACAAGATACAATCACTTTGTAGCTGATATCCTGAATATCTTCCAAAAACCAGAATTCAGCTAGCCAGCAAAGCTCCAGATATTGTTGCAGCTGATGTAGCTTTTCCTCATCATCCATATTATCCCATAAACAACCAGATGGAGGTTTAGGCAACTCATCAGTGTAGAACCAGTTCACTAGCTTAATCATTGCCTCCCAACTGACAGGAACCTCTATGGTTTGGGAGCGACTGTATGCATAAATAACATGAGAAATGTCACAAAAAACAGAAAAATAAAAAAAATCCAAAGCAATGAAATTGGAGAGCAGGAATGTCAGTTGTCAATTAATCATAGAAAAGAAAGACTTCTAAAACTACTATTTCAGAGATTGTTTATTATAATATGAATACCAGTTTCAAAAAGACTTGCAAGAAAGCTAAACAAGCTAGGTCACTACATGAAATCTCCATTACCCAGTACTTGTCCACCATAGGGGAATACTTGTACGATAAATATCCCCCTATTTTAACATGCAGCGGACAGCTATGTCCTGCACACACACATATGCCCTTGGATTACCTAGACTCTTCCAATCTCACCACAGAGCACCCACTTTCCCCAAATACAAGATAAGTTGGACAATAAGAAAATAAAATAGTAAGCTGCCTAGCAAATTATTTATCAAAGCTGCATACAATAAGATGCAGACAAACCCTTCACGTTGTATTATGAGTTTCAACTTTTTCAATCAATTAAATGAACCAACAAACTAGTGTGAGAATGAAGTTCTATACTCAAAACACTAATGTATGTACCTCTCTCGCATGCCTGATTGAAACAAAGCCCGCAAATAATCACAACTAGATGACAATACAACTTTGTGAGCATGCATGTGCGGCAATGACAGGGAGCACATTCTACATTTCCAGCAGATTGATTCAGTTTCTTTTGGCTTCAAGATGATGTCCCTAAAATCAGAGACAAACTGAATTACCACCAACAGCTCCAAAAGATTAGCCACATGAAGGTAGCAAACACAATACAGATTCACCTAAAAACTTCTATTCCAATATTACAAATTTAGTCAAACATCCTATCAACTAGGATGCATATAACAAATAAACTGTAGAATTTAAAACCATAAATCCCATGCAATAGAAGATTCACAATAACAGGAGGAATGAGCAGAAAAGCCCTTTCTGCATTGGGGAACTCTTCCTTTGACTTGGATGGACAGGCTAGAAAACTTATGGGAAAGAGTCTCACACACGAGGTCCATAAGCATATATCTCATATTAACTATCCATCAAGGGTATAGCACGCTATCTAGTTTTGCTGGAAAGCAGTTTGGTGCTGTTAGAAAAGAATTAAACATGAGAAAAAGGCAATGATTTTCTGTTGAGCTCCATCTATTCTTCTAATTGTAGACTATAAAAGAGATCCAACTAACCACTGGGAAAAATAGTTTGTGGAGCTTACAATTTACCATCTCATGATATAAAAAATTATTATCTCACAAGTCTAGAACATACAGTGTAATCCTAGAATATACATGTACACCCATCATTGCTTAGCTAGATATAAATGGCAGGAACAAGTACATGCTAAACTACAAACCTGAACACAGATTTGACAACAAAAAAAATGAAACAAGTCGAAAAAAAAAAAAAAAAGAAGAATAAAATAACAAAAATGAAACAAGTAGAAATAAAAAAAATAAAAAAAATAAAAATAAGAAGAATAAAATAACACAAGGACATGAGAAAAAAGGGAAGGAAATAAAGAAGAAAAAATAAAAGCCATTTTGGAAAACATCTATGATTTTTCTCTCGTATGTGCCTAGGTGAAGGATGAATTCCAACTAATTGCACAAAAAGCAAGTTAAAATCAGAGAATGGTAATATAAAAACCTGACACTGAAAGCCAAACTATCACAACTGCTGTGTACACTGAACAAATGCAAACTAGAGGGCGCCTTGGAAAGGAAAAGGCCCAAAGGTGCCAGCTCAATTACCCTTCTAAAGTATCACGTATCATTTCAAGAGACCTTAGTGAACAAAAATGTAAAAGGATAAGACACGCTGATCCAACACAATGAAAAATGTCCTTAGGCACAAATCAAGAAGCAAACCATACGAAAAGTGATGCCCAGTTGGTGCAAGAGCAGGGGTAAGATCATAGATGGGGAAAAGAGTGCCCCACTTTGGACGTCTTCTGCCAAGCATTGTTGATAGAGGTTGCAAACGACAATGTTTAGCAAGAATCTTCAATTTCTTCACATGCTCATCACTGGAATGCAGATATCCTAAGTAAACAAATTCCAACAACTTGGACAGTGCCTGGTTATCAACGTGTGAAGATAAGCGAATATCTTTCTTAAACTTTCCATACTGCTTATCTACAGCACATCTTCCAGAAGAACCATCAGATGCTTTCTCATCACGAGATAATTCTTCAGGAGGGAGCAGTGATGGACATCGAATGGCAAGAACGACACCATGAACACTCATAGACTCCCCTTTTGCAAGGATGATTCGTGTATCTGCAAATTCATTCTCATCAAGTGCCTTCCCTATACGCCTCCCAAGTTTACAAGGAAAACCATAAAATCCAAAGTAACTTAGAATGTATGCAGCATTCCATTTCAGCCCTAGAGCAGAGTTGTCACTGCAAATCTCCTGAAGCATTCTAACAAACTGAGCTTCAGTATATTCCACCTGGCCAGAAAAAATGTCAACGTTTTTGCTTATAGATCCATAGTGTAGTAACTCAGCTAGCCCCCACAGCCCATACAATAAAAGTATGTCATTGCCTTCCCAGTCTTCCTCACACACCCAGCAACAAAGCCTCTGACTGAATATATTATGCAAATGAGGAGCAAAGCTCAGCCTTCCTATATGGACATCATTGCTTAGGCACCACTTTATAAAAGCCAGTAGTGTCTTTACTCCTCCACTTTTAACAATGTAACTTCGGTACCAGGCCAAACAAGCACAGCATGTCAAAGCCACCAAGTTTATGCCAGTTTGAAGCATATCTGGTATTCCAAAATTATCCCTTGTCAATGTAAAATTGAGAATGCGCAATGAGTGTTTCAAAGATTCCTTGCCAGTTGGCTTTAGAATTTCAGACAGCATAGACCTGGCTTTTGATGCAATGTATTTGCAGGGAGAATAAATCATCATTAGAACTGCCCTTGATGCTGATTCACTTCTGAGTGTCTCGGACAGATCACTTTGGCATATTTGCCATCCTTTACGAACTGAATCCGTAAAAGTTAAGCTATCAAAGGAATATGCAATAAAAAAGAAACACTAATCAGTAACTAGGAGAAAGGGGTCCAGAACACAAAGGTTCATCACTAGGATATTAAAAATCTACTTGACTCCAGGAAAACAAGGCCAGTTTAGAAGATATGAGCAGTATATTACCATGCACATCTAATAAGCATATCAATGTGAAGTTCATGACTATGAATGTTGGGGTTGAAATCTTCCCTACAGTATATTGCCAGCCATCCAAGAATATCCCACATGTATGGCCTCAAAACAAGAAGAACATCAGCATTGAGAGCCTCCTGTGCTTCAGACATCTGTTCTTCAAGTGTCAAAAGGTGTACAGACTGTCCATTCTGAAACTTTTCAAGAAGAAGATCAAGTAGGACCTTGTCAATTCCTTTCTTCCAAAAATAATCATGATGTTCCCCATCCCAGCGAATTATAAGAGCCAAGCGACAAGCTTCCACTAACAAAGACATCTGGTCATTTGCAATCTTCCCTGAGCTCAAGGTCCATCCAGTCATTCCATCAATTATAGCTTTAACAATAGGCTCACAGCATAAGCTCAGCATTTTTAAACATCCCTGTTTATTTGTCTGGGCAATAGATGATGCACAATAACTTACAAACTGTTAACATGTCTCAATTAGACATCTTCGCAGCATAGGCTCAGCATTTTTAAACATCCCTCTTTATTTGTCTGGGCAATAGACGATGCACAATAACTTACACACTGTTAACATGTCTCAATTAGACATCTTGTGAAAGAACAGTTTACAATTATTACCGCTAAGCGTTGGGCAAGTCTAAATCCTTCCATCTGAACAGAAAGAGGGCGGGATCTACCCATGCAGAGTACCATCATTTGCAGAAGGGCTTCCCCATTTTGAAGAAGCTTCATGGCCCCATTACCACATAGAGCTGGCATACAAATCAAGAGTAGTTGTTTAACAATTTTGAGCCTAATAGAATTCATAAAGAAGAACTCAGTGCATATGATTATACCTATCCCTGAATATAACTTCAAAAGTGCAACCTTAATGGAAACATCAGGATTTTCATGCATAGCCTCTAGAACTTCCATCAATTTAGTATCATTCCAGACAGAGAACCGAGAAGCAGACCACTTTTGCAGTATTGTACTCAAAAGAGAAGCCATCTCTTGAAAATATTCAGTAGACATAGGACCACCAGAAAATTCCCGTATACCTCTAACAATAAGGAAAACAGTTTTTGTTTCACTCAGAATCTCCCAAACAATTTTCTCCCTGGTTGCACTCAGATTTGAGAGAATCATATTCAAAGCAGTGGCACAAGCAATTGAGACTTCCATTCGACAGGAAGATAGCACAGATGCTAAAGGATGAACCAGATACAATGAATACGGTTGCAGTATTGAATTGGGTATAATGCGGATCAACTTTACAACCACGTTTGCTGCTATACTCAAAACAGCCTCACTTTTATGCTGAAGAATCCATACCAATGCCCAAACTATATCGGCCACAGAATCCTGAAAATTGAAGGCAAAAGATAGATGCACTAACGTATAAACTATCATTATTGATCATTACCTTTACCTAAGTGAGAGATAATACCACAGACATGCAATATAAAAATACCTTTGCAAGTCCCATCAAATATCATCCAAAAGCTCCTTGTTCCCTAATGAATAACGCTAGAGATACCAACACTCTCACTAACTAACAGCTTACAAATGTTACTTCATCAAAAAATTTAATTCCAATTAATCATAATACATATTCGAAGTGATAAGAACCGCATTACCATACAAGTTAAGATTCAGGTTTTGGTGGAAAGAATTAGTATATTTAGTTTACTGTTTCTTAATACACCATTGTAAGTCAACGAAATGATCCTCTTAAAATTTCAAAAGCAAAAGAAAGATACTCAGCACATAAAATTTTTAATCAACACGGAAGATATGCATAACAGCTGATAAATCTTAATCAATTGGATTATAATTAAATAAAACCAGCACATCAATAAATAGCTATGCTCGGAATTAGATCGAAACAAATCTGCATTCGCCAGCGCATATGTTTTGGATTTTTAAGTGTGACTGATAACAACAAAAACAACAACACCACCGATAACAACAGCAAAAACAACAACAGCAAAAACAACACCGATAACAACAACAACACCACCACCGATAACAACAGCAAAAACAACACTGATAACAACAACAACTTCACTGTAAGAAAACAACCTCAATTAGAACAAGAATCATAGTAATTATGTTTGTTACCTTAACAAGAGGATGATGTAAAGTGTCTGGCGAGGCAGACTCAATGAAGGAAGAAATGGAACGGACGACATGCCGTTGGATTTCAATATCTGTACACTTCCATTTCCTCTCTTTTCCTTCAGAATATCTGTCAATTTTTAAACACAAAATTGATTCATAATCAAAACCTAAAAATAACCTAAAATTAAAATTAAAAAGAACAGACCTGGTACCGAGGTTGAGAGCATGATAGAGACGTTGATGGAGTGTGAACATATGACCGCTTATGCCTCTGTTGTTCTCTGTCGCCGCCGCTGCTTGTTTTGAAGATCTCATTTTGTTTTTGTTTTTGAAAACAAAGATGTAAAATTTAGAGAGAATAAATAGATAAATAAATTACAGTGAATTTGTGGGTTTTCTTTTTGTTTTTAATGATGATTTAGCTGCTTGCTGCAATGCAATGTCATACTCATAGTTAGCCGGCAGAAAACACCGACCACCGCCGCAACTTGCTTCGCGTAAGTCGTCACCACTCTGTCCTTTTTTATCTTTTTTCTTCTCCTACAAGTCTCCTCAAAAATAGCTTCTTTTTTTTTTTCTAATTTATTTTACTTTTGATCAGTCTCTAAAAAATCGACAAACAAATTCATATATAAGAAGGAAGTTTAGTGATTAAGATGAAAAGGGTGGGTGTAAGCATTAAAAAATATAATTAGAATTATTGACACAAACGTTAAGAAATATAAATTAATTTTAATATATTGATATTAAAAATAATTTTTTAAAAAAAATAAAAATAATTTTTTAATATATTTATAATTAAAAAATATTTTAAAATATTTATATATGATTCAAATAATGTGATATTTATTATTATTATTATTGATTTGCCAAAATCGAGATTGGATTTGTTTTAAATAAATTAGAATTAAATGG